ACCGTCAGTCCTTCATCATACAACACATTTATACCGTCAGTCCTTCATCATACAACACATTTATACCGTCAGCTACAGGTTCAGTGAATGCAGTCCTGTACAAACTGATGTTGTCTGTATGTAATAATGTCTGAACATCCGGCTCTTCCTGATAAATTAAATCTACCTGCGCTGGTTGATCCGATTCCAGCTGTGAGGACGGACCGAGGCGTGATTTTTGCTGCGTACTTCAGGAACTGAGACTTTCCTGTTCCTGGATCTCCAACCAGCAGCATGTGACACTCACCTGCAGGACAGAAACCAGCAACCAGCAAACAGTGAATTCAAATGATCCACAGAGAGTAGAAGTGAGCCAGCAGCAGAGAAACAAAGACTTCACCCCTGATCTTGGTCCCAGAGGAATCGACTCTCTGAACGCCTCCAGCCAGCACCAAGGCCACCGCCAGTTTAACCACGTACATGCCAAAAACCTGCGGACACAAACTCAACAGGATGTGGTTCCTGCCTGCAGACAGAGGACAGAAGATCTCAGCTCCACATGAAACAACCCCAGAAATAAACAGCAGTGCTGAGAGTGCTGCACACCAGCGATGGGGTCGGTTCTGAAGCTCTGCCAGAACTCTTCAAACTCCTTCTGAACATCCTTGACGAGCAAAGCAGCGGCCGTCTGCTGGTTGTTGACCTCTATGTTGTTGGCTTTGAGGACCAGCTCCACCTCACAGCGAGAACCTTCATACAGAGACTTCCAGCGCTGACACACCACCCCATAGACCGTCACATCATCTCCTGATGGGGAGCAGACGGGACAGAACGCTGAACCTGAACAATGAACTCTGAAACTGAACGTGGGGCCCATGTGGGGGGCGGGGTCAGTTTGAGGGGCGGAGTCTATGTCACTCACCTGCAGCTCTGGGCAACACAAACAGGTGATGATGGAGGAGAAGTAAGTGTTAGAAAATAGGATTTAATTCACTACAGTTGATGCAAAAAATGTTTGCTGCCACATCAGCAGCAAGTGGATCTCTGTGAGTCCAGAAACACGAGCAAACTGTGGAAACTCAGTGAAAGTTCATCCTGTAGAGACGGAGGAATGTCTGACTGCTGAGCTCGTAGCTCACTAACCAGGTCTGCTACGCTAACTAGCAGCCGCACACAGAGCTAACTAAATGATACAAACACGGGTTGATGATCTAAAGGAAGTGTTCTCCAGTGTTTGGTTAACTGTGACTGTGTTTATTAAGTCAGGCTGGAACTGAGAGCATCATCTGAACCGTCAGAATTTCACTTTCAGAACACAGAAAACAGTGAAGGCTCCCTTCAGAGTGTAAACTGGTTCAGTGCTTTTAAAGACTCTCTACGACAGCACACTTTGATGGTGTCTCGTGTAATTTTAAATCTGTTGCAGGAGTTTAAGAAATTGTTTCAGCTTGGGTTCGGTCCGATCCTGAGCTGGGCCTCAGGTTCAGCCACAGTACAAGCTGCTCTGAGGAGCCAGCTGCACCTTGTCAGGTGTGTCGTCACGGCTCTCACCTGATTTACAGCTGTCCACCAGGTCGTCCTCCAGAACCACCACCACTGATCGCGGGATGCTGCCCACCGTCAGCCGCTGCACCTGCAGAAGACGGATTGAAGTCCGGTCCACACGTTAGACTGCAAATACACCTGAAAGAAGCACTAAGAGACTTCAGGGCAACAATCTGACTCAAACATTGTCTCTGTGGTGTGAAAAAGCCAACAGAGAGCGCAGCTAGCAAAGAGGATCAGACGTACCTGCTCCTGGATCTTGATCTCCTGGTAGTCCCTGCAGGCTGCAGGCTCGCAGCCCTCCGACAGGCAGCTGAACTTAAAGGAGTTACATCCAGTCGGGTTGGAGCAGCTCAGCGGAGGAACGAAGGTGTAAAACTGGTCAAAATCAGCCTGAACCGTGAAAACATGGCGACACTTGGTGCACATGTAGTCACGCTCAAACTCCAGAACCTGAGAGGAACCAGGACGGATGAACTCAGAACACAGTGAAGACAACAGTCACTTGG